TTTACCTTTCCCTGCATTTTGAGCCCTTTGAAGTGAACTCACTTTGTGTTTTCTAGTCCACTGCCTAGCATAGCAGAGGTGCTCAGGAAATGTACATTTATCTTCTTGGTGCATTTTAGATATACATAGTGATAATATTCATCATGGGGAATTTGTTCCCGGACATGGTATATCTGCTTTTTCTCCCATTTCGGGAAGTATTTTTAGAAGGAGTGAATGTAGACTAATTTGTCCCTTCCAGTTGCCCTCAATCAGTTTCTGTAGCGGTGCTCCTGCTCTATGCAGATCAGGTCACCGCGATACATTTGGGACATGCATGTGTGTTTGTGGTACTCTACACAATCAGAGAAACTTCTCTAGTAACATACTATAGAAATTTCTCTCCTTTTCCAGTGTTGCTTAGAACAAAAGAACAAAACTGTTGTTTGTTGCTTACTCTGTTTACTTGTTCTTGAAGTTGGAGGAGTGCAGTGGGCCCCGGCATCAGTCTGTGTTTTATGGCTAGGGTCAGATCAGACCCTGCAGAGGGCCGGTTGGTGTGCACGGCCTCGGCAATGTTCAGTGCCCAGGAGGCTTTTGTCACCCAGTGCCGGTTGTCGGGCTAACACAGCCCGTTCTCCTGTTTCTCCAGGCCGCTGTGGTGGAATACAGTGTATAGTGCCCACACTGAATGTCAACATTAGATGTCATAAACATGAACTGATAATAATGGCAGTGATAATGAAAATGAGGAAGAGGGATCTGCCGATGGAAGGGGGCAGGTGGGTGGGAAGGGAAGGGGAATAAAAAAGAAACAAGGTATGTTCTGTATAGGTACCTGCTGCCAGTTATGAATGTAAATAAACTTCATGTACTGGAAAGAGGTACCAATAAAATAAAATTTAAAAAAATATTTACATGTAAAATAATGGTCTTAAAACTCTGAGATAGGCATTGTGGAAAAATCACTGTCTCTATCTTATTCCAAGAAGGCGCCATTTGTAGAACCCCTTCTTTTTTTTTTTTTTTTTTGATACAGGGTCTTGCTGTGTAGTGCAGGCTGGCCTTGAACTCACTGTGTAGCCTAGGCTGGCCTCGAACCCAGGCAGTCATTCTGCCTCAGCCTCTTGGGTGCTGGAATTACAGGTATGTGCCACCATGCCAGGTTCCATTTCTTTTGTCCTCACTTTACACACTTTATCTTTGGCGGTGATGGATGCTAGGAATTAAAGGCTCAGAACAGACATGAAATGGTGCCGAGGAATCTAGAACCCACAAATCTACGGCCTATCTAAAGTCAAAATACGCTCTATTTTGCTTTCAGAATGTCTTCACTGTCAGATACACCCACTGGGTGATAACTTCTCAGTGTAGTCTGTCAATCAAGACTAGGTGGGTGCTTAATTATTTGGTGTTTGTGTATTGGGTGGGAAACGACCAGTTCTCATTGGTGGCGACTAGGAATTTATGGCCCACATGCCATGCTGGGCTTTTTTTTTCTTTTATCGCTGAAAGCTCTGAGAGGTTCGCTGTCACAGGACTGGGTGCTGGGGTGATGTAACCGGGTGGATGCACATGCGGTAACCTGCACAGCTGCCTGGAGAGCAACAGCAGCCTCAAGGTTGTGAGTGAGGAGGGCGGGGCTCCGCCTAGCGGTGGAGTGGGGCTGCTGGCATCAGAACTGGGCAGCCAGGGAGGTAATGCTTTAACTTACTGAACTTTCTGGGGCTCTGCGGACTGGGACGCTATGGTTTGAGAATATGAGTTTTACTTTTCCTTAAAGAATGAGTTCCAAAACTGAGGATTAATGATCCTATAAAAGTGTATAGGCCAGGCATGGTGGTTCACTTCTGTAATCCTAGCACTTGGAAGGCTGAGGCAAGAGGATCACTGCAAGCTTGAGGCCAGCCTGAGCTACATAGTGAGTTCAAGATCAGCCTGAATTTCATAGCAATTTCAAAGCAAGCAAGCAAGCAAACAAACAAAAAAATGTTTAAAATAGAGGGAGGGGAGAGAGAAGAGAGGAAAAGGGGATGAAAAAAGAATTGAGAAGTGTTATGTACATGTGTGAACTCCCTAAAATGGTTGTAATCATTACATGCTGTAAGCATGTACTAATAAAAATTTTAAAATGCAAATTAAATTTAAAAAGAAAGTTTAATATATTAAGTAAAATTTATAGTTATTAAATTCAATAGGTACATTTGAAATATGAAAAGAGGGTACTTTATTAAGAGATACTCTCTGGTATTATACTGCTACATATTCCCATTACCTCTAAAATGTTTATTTTTTCTACTTAATAAAAAGCTCCAAGCCGGGCATCGTGGTGCATGCCTATAATCCCAGCACTCAGGAGGCTGAGGCAGGAGAATTGCCTGAGTTCGAGGCCAGCCAGGGCTGCATAGTGAGTTCAAGGCCACCCTGGACTGCATAGCGAGACCCTGTCTTACAATAAATAAATAAATAAATAAATAAATTTTTTAAAAAGCTCCCAAAAGCAAGGATTGTGTTTTTCTTGTTTGTACCCCTAAAACTAAAGCTAAGAAAGATACGTGTGTAGAGTACTTAACTCATATTATTTACTCCACCAATAAATGAGTGGACCAACAACCAAATGAACTATTGGAAGATAATGAACCAGGAAATGCTGGCCAAACACCATATTAACTTGGAAGACCTGAAAATGTTTGTAATTTCAGCGAATTGGCATTAGAATTAGACTAATAGAGTGAGAACCAAGCAGAATAGGTAGCGGTCAGAAAACATACTGTGTCATTTGTGCCCTGTTTTGATGCCAGAGATTATGTATTTGAAGCCCTACATTTACAATTCTTTCTCTTGGTGTGGTAGGACTACATGGAGAGAATGATTACACAAATGCATTTAGCTTCTTTATAAAATGCTGTTTTAATGTCAAATATTTGAACATTGAGTATTATACACTCAGAAAATAAATTTCTATTTTGAAAAAACAGTATAATTGACTCAAGGAGCCAGAAGTATCTAAGAACATTTAAGACAGAATCATGTCTCAACTCCTATGCCTTTCTCTTTGGTGAAACAGTTTATTAATTATGTCATGGAACATTTTGTATAACAGCAGCTGAACATTACAGAATGCTTTAGTTGTACAAAAAGCCCTATTCCAGGTGTTCCTCATGGCTTTACTCCTGGCAACAGCTGTTCTCCCCATTCACAGATAAGTCTTCGTGAACTGCATGAATGTGAGGCTCACGCAAGTAGTAAGCAACAGATTGATAGGTGTGCCCAGCTATCCGGTGACTTGGTACCCACCCTACCCACTACACAAACTTTTAAACCCAGTCTACATTTATTTATGTTTAGATCTGTTTATTAGAGGAAAGATTTGTAAAGAAAAACCTAAGTACATCTTTATAATTTTATTCCTGAGTTTCCTAACGACAAGGACCCAGTGTATATCTAAACTGTGTCTCTTTGTGGGACCTATACCACCCATGAGACTCACAAGAGAATCTTCATGTATTTTATCTTCAGATTCTCTGGTGACTTTGGATCAGTTTTATAGGCTGACTGGATTCCTTATTGTGGTTTTCAGATTTTTCCTTGGACTGAGAGTGGACAAGCTCCTCTCACACATACCCTGGCCACACTGAGGAGTCCTTGCGGAGAATAGGAAATGTTTTTTTTAAGTTTTCTGTTTTATCGAGAAAAAAAAAGTTTTCTGTTTTATCATAAAAAGTTCACACCAGTGTTTTGGTTTCCAATACCATTGGAATTCTGCAAACAACAAATACTGATTTTATTACCTGAAGGAGTTTATTGGATGAATATCAAGCAGCTCACTGATCTTACAGAAATCCTGAAGAAACAGATTTGGGAAATAGATAGAAATCTAAGGAGATGGGAGATTTGGAGCCATAGCCGAGATTATAACAGAAAGAGATGGTTAGGGCACTGCTGTCAACTGGTGTATACGTTTGTGTATATTCTTTCTTCATTGATTAATTACATCATTGTTAATAAGAAAAATGAAAATAACGGAATGTCCACCACAGGGTACTGGCAAAATAAATTATGTTTATATAATGAGATACTGTTCCCATTACTAAAGATACTGTAGTAGACCTAAACATACTCATGGAATGATATCCAGGATATAAAAAGTGCAGAAAGTTGCCAAATATTATGATTAGTGTTATTCAAGTTTTGTTTTTAAAATGTATTTAGTTTTTATATATAGAAAAAATTTGGAAGGGGTATATGCCAGACTGATAACTGTTACCATCTCTGTACACTTGAGGCACAGACTTTTGATTCATTATATCTTATTTCTGTAATATCTGAAATATTTTTTGCCAATACATACAAGCTAATGAACATTCCTTTTCTAGCTGGAGATTTTATCAGATCTTTTCCCTAATACTTACATTAAGGCAATGAGAGCCATATTTGTCTTTCTCCGATGTGCATGCTAGGTATGCTCATCAGTAAGAATTCATGCTTCTTTTCCCCACTTTCCTCACCCTCCATCATGACTTTTTATCAGTGCATTTTTGAAGAGTAAATTATTAATTTTACTTCACAATTTTGTGACTGCTATAGAATAGTTGGTGGTATGCTTTTGAATATTGCTTCATGACAGTATATGAATCCTAATCTCACTTGGGTTTTACTTGTTTTATCATTTATTATTACTATTACCACTTTCTTTGGTCAAAAGACATAGTTTTAAATATCACTTTATTTGTTAAATGTGTTTAATTTATCATTCTTGCAAAATTCTTGTATTTCTAATGCAGGACAAAATTCAGACTTTGAGTAAAAAATTTTAGGTAAAGCTTTAGAAGTATCTTTCTTAAACTATTTTGTATGTATTTAAATTTGGCATAAAACTTAAAACTCATTTTAGTTTGATCATTTTTAACATTTCAAATTATGGAATTGATGTGATCTAAAACATATAAGACATTTTGCTATGACGAGTTAAACATGTTAAGAATAACAGTTATGGTTTTTGTTGCCTTGTTTGTTTTTAGCATTCCATATTGGAAGAAGAGATTTTTATACACAAAAAAAATGCCTTTGTTTAGTAAATCACATAAAAATCCAGCAGAAATTGTGAAAATTCTGAAAGACAACATGGCCATTTTGGAAAAGCAAGACAAAAAGACAGACAAGGTATGAGATCAAAATAATAACATTTCAGATCCAAACTATATCATTTGTCTTGAAAACATAAAAATAAAAGTATTTACATTTAGACTGAAAATGGAGCACTCAAAGGTGTTGAAAATGTCTATTTCTTGTTTTTTGTTTTTTTTTTTTGGTTTTTTTTTTTTTTTGGTTTTTCTCCGGTACCGGGAACCGAACTCACGACCTTGAGCTTGCCAGGCAGGCGCTTTGCCACTGAGCTAAATCCCCAGCCCCAAATGTCTATCTCTTGACCTGGGTGATGGTCACAGAGATATTTCTTCATAATTATACTTAGCTTTCTTTATATGTTTAAAGTACTCTTCTGTGGATTCATCTCCAAATTTAAGAATCTTCTAGCCCTTAATAAATTAAGGATTGTCTCTGTTGGACATAAGTATATAGAAGACTCCTTTTTAAAAACGTAGTATCTTTGGCTAGGGGTAGTGGCACATGCCTGTAATCCCAGAACTTGGGACATTGAGGCAGAAGGATTTTGAGTTTGAGACCAGCATGAACTGTGTAGGGAGATCCTGTCTCAGAAAATAAAAGCAAAAACAAAAATAGTAGTGTCTTGGTACTATGATTTATTTTTATGTAATCTATTGTATTCTACTCATTTCTTAATTTATAATGATTTATATACTACAAAGTAATAAAACTATACTTGCTTTAACATACTGAAAAAACTAGACCTAAATGTCAAAGGAAATGAGATACATAAGTTTAAATATTGTATGTTTTCTTTTATGTGAGAAATCCAAAGAATAAATAATTTCAAGGGAAAATAAAAACTGATAATACAAAACAGGGAGATAGATTTTTCACAAATGGAAATGGGACCAAGAGATGGGAAACCAGGGGAAGTATAAAGGATTCAAAAGTGTTGTGTACATGTACCAATTCCCTGCAATGAATGTTATCATTATACGCTGCAAACATAGTAATAAAAATATAAAAAATATTGAGAAAACATAATTGTTAACTAAAATAATATGCTTTATGACACCTGTATTAGTTTAATGAGTTTTTATTGAGATTTACTTCATGTGCCATATAATTCCCCCTTTACAGCATACAGTTCAGTGATTTTTAGTATATTTGTAAGATTGTATAACTATCACCAACACCCAGTTCTAGATCATTTTCATCATCCCAGTAGAAACCCTGTGCCCACTAGCAGTTCTCTCTCATCGTCCCCTCCCCCAGGCCCTAGCACCCTGTGTTCTACTTTCTGCCTCCATGGATTTGCCTGTTACTCCTTGTCTTAGTTACTTCTTTCTCATTAGTAAGACAAAATCCCTGATGCCCAAAATTAAGGAAGGAAAGGCTTATTTAGCTTACAGTTTGTGGTTTGTGGAGGTTTCAGTTCATACTTGGCTGGCTCCAAGGCAGGGTGGCACATGGCAGAGGGCAGCAGTTCATGGTGGCAGAAGATAGCAAACGCAACAAGAGCAAAAGGGGAGGAGGGGCAGCAAGCAACCTCTTTCTCTCCCTTACTCTGTATGCAAACTACCCGCCCCAGGGCTGGGTAACACACCCATAATGCCAGCATTGAACCATGAATCCATCATAAACTCTAGAAGCCCACCCCATGACTGCATGAGGCTTTGGGGGGACAACCAGACACAAATTATAACACTCCTTAAATGCAGTGAGTTTTTTATTTTTAAGCTTCACATTTAGAAAAAAGATAGTGATAATGTATGAGGAATAAGTGGGTTGACAAAGAAAGGCTATGAACTTTGCCAATTTATGATTTTATATTTGGTCCATTAAATGATCAGGAAAATGGGGACTTATTGAAAAAACTTAACATAATGCTTTAAATAAAGACTAGTAACTGCAGATAGGTCTTCAAAACAGATTCAGTGTAATTTTCAAGAGTGATATTTCTATTTAGTTACTAGCAGAATTAGACTGAATACAGTTTAAAAAGAAGTTATTTTAATTATGTCTACTAAGTAGAATATTAAAGATCTTTTTATATAAATTTTAGTAGAATTTTCCAAAATAAAAAGCTGTGTTTACTAATGGTTTCTTGTTTATTTATAACCTGCACAATGCCCTTAATTATAAACAAACAGGGCTTAAGAAGTAGTTTTCTAGTTTAATGGAAAAATGAAATTTTTCATTCTTTTAAACTTTTAGTAGCACTAGGGTTGTAGCTCAGTGGTAGAGTGCTTGCCTAGCACGTGTGAGGTCCTGAGTTCAATCCCCAGTAGCACAAAAATAAAACAACAGAAACAAAAATGGTTAGTATACTTTTTGGTCACTAGGCTTCAGAAGAAGTGTCAAAATCACTGCAAGCAATGAAAGAAATTCTGTGTGGCACAAATGACAAGGAGCCCCCCACGGAGATAGTGGCTCAGCTGGCGCAAGAACTCTACAAGAGCGGGCTGCTGGTGACACTGATAGCCGACCTGCAGCTGATAGACTTTGAGGTGAGTGATCTGGGAAGAGACGGCTGCTCTGCTTTTCAGTTTCAATGCGTATGATTATTAATATTTGAATTTTTAAATTGTCTATGTATTTCTAAAAGTTTTTTTCTAAAACTTTTCCAGTTGCCTTCATGTTTTAAAAAAATGCAAAAATGTACATACTACACTAAAGTTTTGTGCAGCTGTGTAGCATAGTTAATGACTAATAGTAACAATAGGTAACATTTATTCAGTGCTTACTATATTTCAGCAGTTTCAAATGTTTTCTTTTTCTTCTTTCTTTCTTTCTTTCTTTCTTTCTTTCTTTCTTTCTTTCTCTTTCTTAGTACTAGTGATTGAGCTAGGGCCTTAGTACTAGTGATTGAGCAACATCCTTAGCTCTTTTTACTTTTTAGTTTAGACTTCACTAAGACACTAAGTTGCTGGAACTTGAGATCTTCCTGCCTCAACCTTCTTAGAGCACTGGGATTATAGCCATGTGCCACCACGCCAGGCCTTAATTCTTAAAACTACTTTTATGGCTAATCCTGTGTTATTAACCCTATGCTCAAAGTTAGTAAGTAATTTGCCCAAAATCACTCAGTTACTAAGAGCTTCAACTGGGATTCAAGCTCAATATCTACCAGGCTGGTTCTTTTCATTAAAATATTGTATCAGTGATTTGTTAAATGCTAGTAATTTGTTAAATGCTAGTAATTTGTTAAATGCTAGTAATCTCTTTTTTATATTTTTATTAGTATATATTTCCAACACATAGTAATTATATTCACCTTGGGGAATGGGTACATACACACATCAGGTCTTATTCATTTTTGTTTCTCCTTCCTCCCCCACCCATATCTCCTATCGTACGTCTAATTTAGAATAGTTGTTTTTGTGAAAACCGCATACATAGACAAGTTTAGACATTGATTTTTTTAGGTGGTAGAAGTCTTGGCTTTATTTTGTTTCTCCCATAGTACTTTTGGTGGTATTAGGTAAGTGCTTTTGTCTCCTTTGATTCTGAGACAGACATGCAGATTTCTCAAGTGAATTGCTTTTAGTTTGTTCCGTGAGCAAGGGCAGGAAACCTAATTAGAGTGATTGCAGTGATTCAGCACGATAAGGTCAGATCTGTGGGGAATCTGTGGGAACCATAGCTTAGACTGGATGGGGAAGAGTCCTGGCTGCCTGGACCAAGCTGGAGGACTGCGGAGCAGCACTGCTCAGGAGATGAGCCGCCAGGAGTGGGCAGGAAGCAAGATGAGCCAGGGCCTCAACTCATCTTTCCTTTCAGATCCTCCTCTTTCTTTTTCTCTCTCTCGTTGCATTTGCCCGCCTTTCACATTTTCTGGCCCATAGTCTTGTCCCCATCTGTGTCACATCTTTTTAAAATTGGCTTTGTATGGAATGAAAGTATATTCTTTCTGTGTTTCTATACTTTTATATTTTTTTAATGTAGTTTAACTTTATACATTATGAACATTTGTAAAGCTGTGGTATAGTGGAAACCCTTGACTTGGAGTTGGAATTGTGTAAAGCCGCCATTTAATAGTGACTTAACCTCTTTGAGCCTGTTTTCCTATGTGTAGAAGAGTACTACACAAGTTGTATTATTTAGATTTGGCTGTCGATAACAATAAGAAAGAAGTCATACTCTCATATTACAGTCATGGCTCTATAAGTTTCTCTTGTTTTATACTTTGTCTGAGAATAGCCATATGTTAAACTATGGTCATCATTGATTCGTATGTTCAGTTGAGTTAGTTTATGAGATTAGACCAGTTTGCAGTGGGTGTTAGAAAGAATATGAGCAAGGATTTTTATGTTTTGAAGAATGATTTAGAGATGAGATGTCATCAGGTTCAGAGTCTTGGAGAAGCCTTGAGTAGCCACAGAACATCAGGTTCAGAATACTCTCCAAGGACTGGGAAGATAGGAGGAGAAAACTTCAGGTACCTCACACATTGTTTAGCCTTGGCTTGGAATAGGAAAAGTGGGACAGTAAGAAACAGTTACACAAGTTTCCGTTCTTTTATGTGATGTTCCAGAAATAAAGGTAAAACTAGAGAGGAAGTTCACTTCGCTTCTCAGCCCTTCGGGTTGAGGGGACAGTACTGGAGGATCCTGGAGGATCCTTAAGTTAAGAAAATTATTGAGTTGAAAAAATTAAGTTAAAAAATTATCTAATATTAAGTTATTAAGATGTTCAGTGTCCCAAAACTGACGTGCACATTATCTAGTAAACTTTTGCTCTGGAGACCTTGGAGAAAAGAAGTACCTTTTTAAATATTTGAGTTTTCTATGAAGACAAACTCTTCAAATTCAGAAAGTGACTTACTTTTTAACTATATGTATATTTGCCTCCCTATAATATACTCCTATAATATACTAGATATAGTAAGTTTTTCCTGGTGACATAAAACTATAATTATGAATATCTGTTGCTGTGATAAAACAGTAGACAGATCTTAACTTTATTTATTCAACTGATATAATAACAATACCTGGAAATTCAGTAGATGCAGTACTGGAGGATCTTGTAGTGAGTGATTGAATGAATGAATGAACAAATGGAAAGCAGTAAAAATTTAAAACAGTTGCATTTTAAGCATTTTACCAGCTACATATTTCTAGGGAAGAGGCAGCATTACTAGTATTATTAACTTACTTGCAGCAATGTGCTGTGTCTTTATGGACGGGAGAAAGGGTGATCAGACTTCAGGGAGCAACTTTCCTTCTTCAGCCCAAAGTGTTCCTGTAAGCTAATCATAGCTTTGCGCAGTTCTTCCTGTCTTCAAAATATGTTCTAACCACACAGCGCTCCCACCCTCTCCTCTTGGTTCATAGGCAGTTCTGGGGATCTGCTTTTGTACTGAGAATACCTTGAGTACTAAGACTGGTTCCCACACTCAGATGCATGTCAGTTGATTGGCTGGTTGTTTGAATGAATTTAGGAATGAGAATGAGAGATCAAAGCAGAGGTAAAGGAACTCAATCAAAAGAAGCTATCCTAAGACTTACTAGTGAGCTGTTCTTGAAGAATTAGTAAATTGTTCAGAAGACAATTCACATTTCTTTAAGTGATAATCTTATCATTTCAGTAGATGAATATTCTCTCACTATGCTCTGAGAATCAAAACAGTTATTTGATCTTAAAATTATGATATGTTTTTATAACAGGGAGGAAAAATTAGTTTAGCAATAGGCTGACGCTCTTGTCAGGTGATTTAGGAGGGTGGAGCATTCCTCACAGAGAATAACTATGAACTTCTGTTTAGAAGACAGCTTGCTGGGGCTTTTTTGTTAGTTATAAGATTACTGGACAGTGTCTGGAAAGAAAAGACTGAGAGAAAAGGGCTTAGATCTTCTTTGCAGAGTGAAGTAACAGAAATTTGAGAAAGCCTCTTGTTGGCTAAGGTTAATATAGATAGGAAATAGAAGAGAGACAGGAGAAAGGTTTGGTGTGGGGTAAGGAAGTTTGCAAAACAATAGCAAAGAGAAGGAGCTTAAGGAAAAAGATGATGAGATAGACTGAAGAACCTTAGTGACAGGTAGAATTCAATTTGAAGTTATTTCTCCATGCTGTGCTTACCCTTTGTAATCTTTAAACTGTTTTTTGTTTGTTTGTTTGTCTTTTTGAGAGAGGGTCTTGCTTTGCAGTTCAGGCTGGCCTTGAGCTCGCTTTTTAGCCCAGGGTGGCCTCGAACTTGCAAGGATTCTCCTGCCTCAGCCTCTGAGTGCTGTGATTACAGGCATGCACCAACGCTCTAAACTGTTGATAAAAGAACGATGTATTAATAGCAATACTGAGTGAAGGAGGAGGACTGGTTTTCTACACTTTGGGTAAACAGTGGTGTTGAGAAAATAAGCAGCTGCAAGAGCAAGACAGTTAACAGAAGCTGAAAGCAGCTAGGACTGGGTTTGGAGCTCAACCTGACAGTAGCCGTGGCAGCTCAAGGCGAGGATTTCGAATCAGGTAGCAGGGACTAAGTCAGGAATCCTGTGACAAACTCATTCCTTCTTCAAAAACCCAGAGGAAAGTGGCCCTTCAGGTTGAGGGACAGTACTGGAGGATCCTGTAGGCCCTTAAGTTAAAAAAATTATCTAACCATCCAGTCTTAAAATATCTAAAAGAAAAGAACTATGGCAGCATATTATGAGTCATCTAAAAAATGACTTGTGACTAAGATTGGAAGGCTTAGGATTTTGTGGACTCAGGATCAAGCTCAGAGCTGTATCATTTGAGGTTTGGCTACTATTCAAGACATAGCTTTAGACTCTGATTTAAAAAAACACAATGTGTTAAGAGATCAAGGGAATAAAGAATTCATTGCAGATAAAAGTTGATGCACTCATTTTAAAAGCAGATGTGCCTTTGCCAAACTAGGGTGGATACAAAATCAGTGTTGGGGTTCAATAAGAAAACAGCTCAAAGCAGAAAACTCTCCTGTGTAACTTCATTTCTAAAGATATTTCTTGCCATGATCAACCTAAAACATAGAATCCCACACAAGAGTGTGTAAGGAAAGGCTTTTGTTTAAGAGTGATGATAGCCACCCAGAAAACAGGTGTTCCGGTTGTCCAGAATAAGAGCTCTAAATTGGCATCTGAAGAGTCTGGTTTTATAGACAAAAAAACAATAAGAGGGTATAGCAAACTGATGGTTCCCCCCTCCCCCGCCCCCAGTACTGGGAATCAAACTCATGACCTCGCGCTTGCCAGGCAGGCACTGTGCTGCTGAGCTAGATCCCCAGCCCCTAAACTGATGGTTAAGTTGTACTAAGCCACGAGAATAGTACAGGTCATCCACTGCTTGCTGCTCACTTCGGTCATGTATTCCAGGTATGATTTAGAGATAAGCAGGAACAAGTCACTCTCCATCTGTGGAGATCAGTGCTTCTACAGTGAACTAAGTTGAAATGGTTAAAGATTAAAATTAGCTAGATTATGAGACTTCAAATCTCAGAGGATAGGATGGCTGGCTGTCCTGTACCCCATGTCTGGCAGGCCCAATAGAGGTT